ATTAAGTACTCAGTAAACTGTAGATTTCATGGAAAGATGTGGAATTAACAATAATAGCTACTAATAGGTAACAGATTAATTGATATGTTTGAGTACAGCATATGAAAACAAAGTACAAGATATATCTTTGTAGTTAATTATATATGACCTCTATTTTTAAAAGTATAGATTTTACCGTTAACCTTAGCCTGTAATTCAACATAAGTTAGGTAGTAGTAAAAGTTTATAAAGCTGAATTATCTAACAAAACTTCGAAACTAATGTCAAATCTCATTACGAAAGGATTGATGAAATTTATAATACAGTCGTCAGCATTTTGATTTGACCTTCTCTTCCGAGGAATTTTTCATAGCACAACTTTAAGAAACTGAGATTTCTAACCAATGCACCATGCCTTGGTACGTTAAGTACAGACAACTACTCAATCACATTAACGGCAAATAGACTCCATAAGTTATGCTAAGAAGTCGTGTACGTATTTTGCATGTTTTCATTCAAAACCAAAAACTAGATAATATTCAACAGAAAATTCGACTTTACCTTGCTGCATCTTCATGATTACTAGCATCCACATATTCCAAGATATCTATAGTGATACTTTGAGAAGTTGATGGATGAACAAATACTTCTTGGTTATCAGGAATTTGACGTAAATCACTTACGATTGCACGTAGTTAACAGTTTAATCAAAAAAGGATAGTATGAATTAAGAATCAGTTACAAAAAGTTCTTTTTCAAAAAGTATATTTAATAAAATTTGAAATAAAAAAGTCCTAGAAGCTAAACAAAACTCTTCAAAAGACAAAGGGTGAGTAATAAGTTATGGATTACAGGATCCTATCTCAATTGGTCTAAATTTATATTGCTGTTCATGGAATTTGAAGGTTTTGAGTCTAACTTTGTATGGACACAGTCAAAGGCAAACATTTTCGTAAGGACCCCCGAAATAGGACTAACAAGCTAGTTATCCAATGTATTTTGGTTTTTTTGATGTTCCTATATCTAGTACCAATTCAGTATGAAAGATACTTAGAAGTAAACTAATGTTAAAGTAAAACAAAGGTGAACATTTATATTTAATTAGTCAATTAAATAAGTGGAGAAAAATATATACTGCCATTAGGATAAATCCACTTAATATTGTTTATCTTGTATCTTCCCATTGTTATTTAGGACTGCAATTGATCAGTCCCATGGTAATATATGTGCATCCTGCGCGGATTGCTTTAAGTCAAAAGCATTTTAAGCAAAGCTGGATAGTGGCTAGTAGTGGAATTCAGGACGCGTCATTAGGATAGTTTACTCTTTCATGTAGATTTCCAAGTGACTTATTTTAATATCCATATAGTTTTTCACTAGACTTATCGTCTATTCAATCAAGCAATTAAAAAAAGATCATCTTATTCGAAAATCAAATTCAGTATTTCGTAAGTTTACCTTTCTATCAAACCAGAAGTGCAACGCTGAATTTCAATATACCTAATCTAATAATTACAAAGACTGAAAGCTGTGAATTCATGAAGTTATCAAACAATTTCTGGTTTTTCAAATATTCTAGTTAATAAATTTTTGCCGTGTTAAACAGATTATATTTTACATTAACAGTTACTGTGTAGGTAAATATTTGTTTCAGGGTGAGTATGACGGATATAATAAAAATGACAGTTAAACATATTCCAATCAGTCAAATATTTTATCAGATCGTTAGTACGAGTACAGGGCATTGTAAAAATTGTGCTCCAAAAATAAAAGATTCGATGATAATATTGTGGTGTTGCTACTTATGTAGACATAAGTAGTATATGATGTTAGTCGTGAACAGAATGTCTGGCAGCAGAGAGACAAGAAGATCCCGCTCGTGTTCGTGTTCACTACAATATCAATGAAGAGTTCGGTAGTTATTTGGTACTCATTTATTTACAGAAATCTACTGAAAACTGCGAAATGATTATAAGGCTGAATGACCTATCGTTAGAATGTTTGGTGTTCAGAGTGCATAATAGTTATTTCTCTCAAACACATACTAATACAACTCAACTATCGGTAATGACTTGTTCCCTAAGCTAGACGGTTTGATTGCCGTTCGGGATAAAAATTATTATATTTTACTTCATACAGAAGTTGATTATTTTTATTGCTCTTTCAATCTATATTATAAAGTAAACATTTTACAATCGAACTTCAACATTTCGATGAGTACTACCTGACGTATTTAACTGACATACAGTTCAAGTACTTTTCGGCACAATTCGTCAAGTACAGAAAAATTTATAATTTGTCTCACCTGGCATCAACTACATTCGTTGGTAATAGGCATTGAAATGCTCCATCAAACAATGGATGAGACTGCATTGTACTGAAGATTAACGTAAAAGAATTTTAAAAAAGTATGAAACAAATTAGAACGGAAGGACTAAAAAAATCAAATACAACTTGACGGTAAATTGTGATCTGTAAACGAGCACTAAATAATATCATAATATATAGTCTTTAGAGGTGATAACTTCTCCTAATAACACTTGCATTGTGAGCGTTAAACTAAACGATACATCAAGGTGGACATTGTGTTGATATAAAAATTATTCGACGTAGATTATATGAAGTCTTATGAAATGGTTATGAGCTCATTTACATTTGTAAGTCGAGAGTGAGTTTTCACCTTCCGTGCTGAAGTAGGACCTGTTGGGTTTGTGACCGAGATATTAACTGCAATATACAAACGAATCTCCGAACAATGTACTTCTTAAAACGATATTTTCCCCCAAATGCCCTGGTACGGCCGAGAGTGGAGAGAGTCCGCTCTCCCTCTTGAAATGCTCTCACATGGCCACTCGTATATAGCCTCTGCCAGGGAAGTCCTACTCATTACCTTCTCGTGGCGAGGGTGTTGTTTACGAATATGAGAGGATGAAAAGCAAATGTCCGGAGCTTTAACCGGATCCCAAACCAATGGTGCATATGGGCTCCAGTATCCTGGAGAACAAGTGGCGTATGAACCAATCGTTAGTCACCGGCTACCGTGGAACTACATCTCCTCGCGATGCTCCACTGCCTTGTGGATCAGATCTTCAGGTCGAATGCTCGGGGTGTGGCCCCCTAAGAAAACCACCTGCTTCGGTTTTGGCACCCGGGCATTATCACAGCCCTCACACATATCCAATGAGATTTTTGTGGCGCATATGTATTTGGTGCCTTCTTGTACCAATATCTATGTGTTAAAATAAATTATCCATTATAATTTGAATTACATAATGCATATTTCAATTTATTTTCATTTATTCATTAAACGTTTTCTTTCAGTAAGAAAATAATGATATATTTGTGGTGTCCTAGTGAGCGGAAATTAGGATTTCTTCTCTTTAAAGAAGCGACTTAAACTATGTTGTGAAATGTAAATAATCAACCCAACGCTCTACTAATTTGAGATGTTATATTTTGTTCATTGAATTAGATTAGTCTTGTATCCCTATTTAATTTAATTTCAACACTGAAATTTATTCATTTAAGATTTAATTAGCGGTTTAATAGTAAATATCATCTTATCAAGATTATACATAATGGGGTTGATAAACTAATCACTATGGGACTAACAAATTCAACAACGACAGAGATAAAAATCAATTATATTAACTAATTGAATTACATAATTTCGGTATATTTTATAAAGATTAAAAATGAACCGAGACATAGGTTGATATATGATCGGAGTTAACATTTGAGAAAAAACTTAACGAAGTTGCACCTACGAAGAGTTGTCGACTCATATTTATTTGAAAAATTCACTTTTAATAATTATCTAATTTGCAATCTATATAAGCAGTGTCTGTTTGTTAGGGGTTTATACTAAAGAATTGAACTAACCAGTAACTTTAAATAAAGACATATAATCAATTAAAGAGCTGATATTAGTTCTCAAATTACATTATAATGAATTGGTTATTTATTTGTCTACTTTTGAACGTTTCTCAATAAACATTAGTATTAGTTGAGAATAAAGGCATGTTATAATTGTATAAGTATCCAGTGTTTTTTTTTAATTCTCGATGATTGACAAATCATATTCATACTCAAAATCCCACATTTCATAACTGTGCATAAACCGAAAAATAAAATATACAGAGGATGAATGTTCCTGAATTAGAGAGACAAAAAGAGAGATGATAGTGGATAACTGTAACAGAAAGCCTTTGAAAGTTGATTCCAACTAGATAGAGTTGGATAGTTCGGATATTTACACTACAATTTGTAGCCTTGTTCGATGGTCGGTTAACCGTACAAATTCGTGTATCATTATTTTTTATGTAATTCAGTCAAAGTAGGGAATTGTTTAGTGAATATATTTCAGTAGCTGAGAGAAATTTAGGTGTATAAAAATATCATGAGTTACATTGTATTTTATACTTAACATCGATATTAATAAGGTGGTACTGACAAAAGTAAACAAACCCTTTCATACAATTTCCACCCAACACAAATAAAAGTCAGATATTACATAGTTGAAAAGAGTCGACAATAACTCTTGAAAATATGTTCCATGCTAGTTAGCACTCATCAACATGTTTGTTTTCATGAGTGAACTGATGGGCTTTGTTAGATTCCTCCTACTGTCACAATGAGAGACGCTATCACTGAGTTTTTCATTCAAACTCAGTCGACTTCCTGTATGGTTTATATATGTATACTAAATGATCAGTGAGCCATGTTGGGTGGTCGACGTTCACGGATTAAGACGTAATGCGACTACCAGATTAAACGGACCAACAACCTTATGCATTATGTTAATCCAACTATTGAGACATGATATGATTTAATTACAATTGAATACTTGGTTAAGATATCAACGTTTCTAGTTAGCTGCCTTAAATAGGTTTTAACTTACTAACTAAATGGTGTAATAACATTCACTAATTAATAACGTGTGAGACACAACCATTTGACAAGATGAAATAACAATAAAATAAACTAGTTTTACTATAAAATAATCCAAAACACGACAGAAATGCAGATGTATGTATAATTTATTCTATTTTACAAGAGGTTACACATATTTAAATATATTTAAAAGAGGATTGGATAAGGAAGACAATTTACGTTACAATAACAATTTAAGAAAAGTTCTAATTCTATCTACAATGAAATTATAAAATGGTTATAAAATCGACAGAGATAAAAAGTACACTAAAAAAGTGTTCAAATGAGAAGATAAAATATAGAAAGAAAAACTGAATCAAAAGAGTATTTACCAGGAGATATAAAATAATAAATACTTCAAACCAACTATAGCGGTTATTATGATCTACTTAAACACTGTCTAATAAATGAAGGGGAAAAACTTTTTATATAAAAAAAACAATTGGTCTACTAGGAATATGTGAAAAAAAAAATTACATAGAATTATAGTCATGAATCGCTTTAGAAATTATAACTAGCTCGAACAAAAGGAAAAAAATCATACAGTTTCACTGTCACGGTTAATAGAAACAGCTAGCAAGTTATTATTGATGACGTTGTAACTATTATCCATGATATTTTGAATGTTTTCAATACTAGAACGTAAGATATTAATTTCATGATGTTTAAGACGTTCACAATTTTGTTGAATTAACGTTAACTGACTCCATTCAGGAGTATCCTATATAGACAAGTGAGAGAAAAATTCTAATCAAGTCAAACAAAGTCATTTATATGTTACTTCGTGATTTTTAAATATTTAGAAATGATAAAAATAGAATGGTAAAAATAACATAAAATATCTTTTGAACCCAACTGATTAACAGATCTCCATCGCTATCTCAAATGCGAATTATATCAAATAACTATATCGATAAGATGAAGAGTCAATCGAATAAGCATAACAGCTTGGTCAGTTGATTAATCTCAACCTAGAACCTGGTATATATGTACACTGTCATACCCATTTGTACGGCGAGATGAAACTGTCCAGTACATTCATTGCTAGATCGATTCATAATTATAATTTATGGGGAAAATCAATAACAAAACAACAAGAATTTAGACGATACGCACTAGAAAAGCTGTTTTTCTTTTTCAAATCAACACCAAAGCATCCACTTATTATGAATAATCAATCTTCAGAAAACTGAAAATAAACTAACCTCTAACAGTAAAGTTCCATATGCAGCAATTAATAATTTTAAGCGATTAATCATAAAACTTAATGCTTTGCATTCGGAGGCAATTTCTTTATTAAACTCAAAACTACTCAACTGCAGTTTTATTATTGTGTGATTCGATTTAGAGTCTACTAGATATTTATTCAGTTCTTCTGCAATGTATGGAAGAAAAAAGAGATGAAGGCGAGTATGAATATGTAAATTGACATACATTGGAAAAAAATTATCGGAGTTTCTTATAAATAAAAATAATATATTGGTAAATATTATTATGAGGAGAGAATAGATAATAGCGCTAACCTTTGTCCATGGAAAAAATACGTGAAAATATGAGGAATTCTGTCATGGATTCAATATCACCACGCAAATCACACTTCAATGGACTAAAATGAAAGAAAGAAATAGAGTGAAATAGAACTTTAAGCAAGTTTAATATAACCATATGTAATAATGAGTAGTCTTACATATGTGTTGTATTATACATGACTGAGGATTAAGTATTATATCTTTAAAAATACTTGGCTCTACCTCGCAAAGATTTACAACTCTGTAGGGAATCAAACTGTAATGGGAAATGATCACGTAACTTGTAAATTTACATTCGATTATAGCTTTGACTGACTTGCAAACATTAGGTTACATGTTCTAACCCTGACTCTACACACATCAATTTGGTTAAGCTGTGAATATCACTATTACACAAGTGATGCATTTCAAAGCCGAACACATGAACCCATACTTAATATATGTAATTTTTAAGTATGTCAATAACTTTAGAGTGTTAACAATGAAATTCAACTTCATGTATCACGACTTATAGGGTTGTACATGTTACAGTAGCCCCCAAATGCCCTGGTATGGCCGAGAGCGGGGAGGGTTCGCCCTCCCTCTCGAAATACTCTCACACGGCCACGCGTATACAGCCTCTGCCAGGGAAGTCCTACTCACTGCCTACTCGTGGCGGGGGTGTTGTTTACGAAAATGAGAGGACGAAAAGCGAACGTCCGGCGCTATAACCGGATCCCAATTCTATGGTGCACATGGGCTCCAGTATCCTGTGGGAACAAATGGCGTATGAACCAACTTTTGGTCACCGGCTTCCATGGGACTGCATCTCCTCACGATGCTCCACTGCCTTATGGACTAGACCTTTATTATTTATTATTTATTTATTTTAACACATAAATATCGGTACAAGAAGGCACCAAATACATATGCGCCACAAAAATCTCATTGGATATGTGTGAGGGCTGTGATACTGCCCGGGTGCCCAAACCGAAGCAGGTGGTTTTCTTAGGGGGCCACACCCCGAGCATTCGACCTGAACGTCTGATCCACAAGGCAGTGGAGCATCGTGAGGAGATGCAGCCTCATGGAAGCCGGTGACCAAGAAATTGGTTCATACGCCATTTGTTCCTTCAGGATACTGGAGCCCATATGCACCATTGGTTTGGGATCCGGTTAAAGCTCCGGACATTTGCTTTTCATCCTCTCATATTCGTAAACAACACCCTCGCCACGAGAAGGCAGTGAGTAGGACTTCCCTGGCAGAGGCTGTATACGCGTGGCCATATGAGAGCATTTCGAGAGGGGGAGCGGACTCCCCCCACTCTCGGCCGTACCAGGGCATTTGGGGGCGGACTAGACCTTTATTTCAAAGGCTCGGGGTGTGGCCCCCTAAGAAAACCACCTGCTTCGGTCTGGGCGCCCGGGCAGTAACTCAGCCCACACACTAAAACTATGATGAACTATCTGCTTATAGAAAAAAATTATCGATAACGGGTTTGTCGAATTCTTGTTATATGGCATTCAAAAATAAACATACAGTAAGCTGAAATAGTGACAGCTGTAAAAGGAACTCGGTTAGAAATATCACATAGATAGATATTTTTCTTTTTCTTTTCAGAGAGTTCAAAAAACAGTTAGTTTTGTTAACACGTTTTAAATCAAGTATGTTAGGCATCATTGATAAATTATAAAATGAATTTATACGACTATGAAGGATAACAAAAACCTCAGTTTGTGACTTACACATTTAAGCCAAAACTTTGTAATAATTGTTTACGTGTTAATGCCAGAGAATCGGAAGAACTGATACCTTGAAAAATAGAATAGAATGTTATAACAATGAATAAAACAGAGGATAGGAAGAAAGAAAGCAGTGCATTTTACCTAACCAATTATAACACCATACAACCTTATGATTCATGCGAATAATAGGAAAAAATATATTTATCTTACTGTCGAATAAAGGTTGACATCTATTCAATGGTAAGTTTATATACCCACTGAATGTTAAAAGAAAGATCTGAAAACTATTGTGACATCTTTTGACTGGTATAACTTTTGCTCAACATAAACACTTTGTAAAAAACTAAACCTTCAATAATTGATCTTTTGAACTTATTTGAATGATGAAGCATGTTGGGCCAATTTCACGTTCACAATACCAATCTAGGAAAGTTATACACTATAATATTAATGACCAGTATCAGTTCCATTATACAGAACTATTGTGACTTAACAGTTTATATTGTTATGTTTTCAGTCACTGTGAGTAGAAGAGATATTCACTTAAACTCGTTTTGTATTTTCAGTAATTTCTCCTTATTATTTATACATACGATCATTGATACAAGGGGGCACAAAAATATATATGCGCTACAGAAAATTTTTGTAAGGGCTAAGATACTGGCCGGATACCCAAACTTATGGTAAATAACAAACAATATTATCCATAACCGTATAATTATTCAGTGTAATGTAATGAACAATATGAAAACGGAGAACAGATGGAAACTAATTAACGAGAGAGTTCTTTAGTAATGAATAATGTAACTCATTCGCCAAGTACAGTTTCATGTGCCCGACTTTAAGGGACACTTCAAGTGTAAGCATTATTCATATTATCAAAGTAGGTGAATTGTTGTTAAAATCTAAAGCCTATTGGTTGGCAAGTGAATGCTTTAGCCACTAGCACACCACAGTTATTGTAATTGAATATCAATGAGACACGCATTTCTTGGATCAATTTTATCATAGTAACATAGGATACGATGATTTGATGTAAACAGGTCTAGTACGAGGTAGTATGTACATGGAAAAAGGCAATTACAACTGCTAATAAGCACGAATTTTGTTACAGATAAGACTGATTTATCAAAATGAAAACTTGCCTAGAGTTATTGTCAATTTATTGTTCAGATTGACTTGAGGTATAAAACCAGAGAACATGAAAAAATCCTCATTTGAACGATTTCCGTAGTCCATAAATATCTGAATATATAAACGGGAAAGTGTAAAAAATAAAGAAATAGGAGAAATTACCCCCATTAATTAATTAATGTAATTGCCGACACAAAATAAACAAATAAACATATCATTTTTAGTACGGAATTATCCCAGTAAGGTAATAATTTCGTGGCACGACGAAGGCCTACAAATTTAGAAAGTTGGAAGAATTTTTTACTCAATAAATCATCCGATCTTGAAAGAAAAATCCCTGAGGTAGTTTGGTCTCATGTTTTCCGTATTAAACTATGAAAAGATTGAAAAACATAGTCATCACCTGAGTGGTTTCAATATACATTGCACTGTAAATTAACTCAATTTATTTACCATAATAAGTTGGAAACTAATTAGTAAGTTAATGTTTGACATTAAGTTAGTGGTTTGTGCACTTTAATTTGATTTGCTAGAATAGATATGTTATCAATAATCCTCACATGAGAAGCATAACTCAAAGTCGGGTATACGTACCTATATTTAGCTGTTGAGTTATATTAAAAATTTGCATTAGTGTTACAAGACCACAAATTATATTTCCAAAATAGTGGACTTATTGTGAGTTTTGATCTGCACAATAAAATAAACACTAGGATGCTTGTTTATTGTTTATCATCTTAAAGTTTAGTGAACTTATAATTAAACAGGAAACGTTCCAAACTTATTAACTTATAAAAAGACAGCTCAGAGAAAAAAAAGTACCTGATCACCAGGTTGGTATGCCTCCATTGTACAGAATATTAACTCATCTACTTCAGGATAATAGTGTGTTGTAACCTAAATAAAAAAATGAAGACAATAAAATCTATACACAAAACGTATGTGAATACACTGAGAAGTATCAGTAATCATAAGTGAAATTTACTTTAAAGCATATCATGGATAAACAACGTGCCATTCAACACAAAAATGAATCGGTTAAGTTGGCACACAAATTTAGAAAATCAGTAGACATATATGTGACGCTAGAAGACACAGATTTGAGTTAAATGGAAAAGCACCAGCTCAGTAAAGACTGGAAATATGATTTGCTAACAGGTACCAACAAGCCAAGAATTAAGACCAGAGGTTCCTGTGAATAGTCTCCAACTATTCAAAAACTAAGAAGGATATGGGTGGTGACGGTAACAAATTAGAAAATGATATGATTTGTAAGATTGTGAGAAAGACAAAAAAGATGTAACTGTGTTAAGGAAAATTGTTTTAAACAGTAAAAGGATTTATCAAAGCAAGGTTATTGCTAAATGTCATTAGGTCTTTTCTCATAAAAGGTCATAAAATGATAACTATTATGAAAACGAAGAATATTGATGGTTCATAAATATGGAATGAAAAGTGGCTTACATCACACTATATAAAAATCTGTAGATTATTCCTTGGACCGGAAATTGGTGTCAGACTAGAAAGAGGATAACTGGTAAACTATAGTAGAATCATGCAGTAAAACCAACAGGAGGACTGAGGTAATATAATTTGGTCTTTCGGATCGTGAGGAATTACAAACTAAATACGATAGGTATGGGATGATTATAAAAGTTTCACTGAGTTAATACTGGGGGAATACAATGTGACAATAAATTTTTACAACCAACAACAATATCTCCAAATGCATTTTAAGATACAGTTCTGTTGATTATATATGTGGGCAGCTAATCATTAGTCGTGTGCTTAGAGAGATTACAATGACATCCAATGCTGTATTACACTGTAACCAGACAGAGATGAAAAACATTGTAATACAGACTGATTATCATGATGAATGTATAAGTAAAAAAAACATGGACACATAGAGAAGCTTAAAACAAATACCTTTTTGACATCACGTTGTGAAATCAGTGATGAATTTGAAAATAGGCATTTTAGCAACAACGCAATGTACCAAAGCAAACTTCACGACTAATTAGACAACATATCAAAATACAAACCAATTGAATCTGTTCAATAAAATGTTGGAACAAAAGTGGATGGATGTATCAACGGTTAGGCTTACTGGCTCTCAGCCAGGTGGCCCGGCGCGGCACACCACATGTTTCGGTTTGGGCACCCGGGCAATATCCTAGCCCTCACATAAATCGAATGATTTATATGGCAGATATCTTTTTGGTGCCCCCTTGTACAATGTTTATGTGTTTAAATAAATAAATCACTACTGAGTTTAAATTTAGTCAATATTTTAACTTTCATCAGAATGTAGGTTAACTGTAACATTTGTATATAATGATGATTACTTTGCACTCTATTACACGCCTAATTCGAATTATATAATGGGATATTTTCGGATGTGTTCACTATTCTATCTGAGATTTGAGTGCTTGTCCATTTGTAACTACTAGTTAGTAAGCTACAATATATGACCTGGATAGTATATGCATCCGTACCAGTTGCCACAACTCATTAGAACAACTAAATGAACAAATTCGTAGAATCAATTATTTCAATGGTAGTAATATATAAATGAACGATTGTATATGAGGACATGATATAGGGAGAAAGAATTAGTTCGAATAAAGAAAATTATAAAGCAATTCTAATCTCATGGTTTAAGAGAAGACAAAGGGTGTATACACCGACACCATTGTGATCGATCCTGAGCCATTTCAAACAGAGTCTCCAACCATTGACATGAACTATGCTCTATATGTGATTTGTGATAACTGAGTATTTTTCATGTATGTGATTTCATTCGAATTATTAATCAAAATGGGTGTATAATCAATATATAAATAAGTGTATTTTCGACTAAGGTCGTCGTCGTCATCATAGTGTTTTGGGCTAATAAAACTTCGCTTATACCAGTCTTGTGTTCTTACTTTCGCGTCGTGGGAATTGTGGAGGTCCCTTCGTCCCGAGCATAAGTGGTCAACGATTCCGACATAACAATCAGCGACGACCAGATACAAAATGTAGCATTCGATTCGAACACAAGTCATAACAGCCGCACGGACCCCAATCGACTAGTCTACATCTATCAATGAGGATTAAACCAAAACTTAATGACTTTATGGATTGATACCACGTTTTGGTCTGGTCACCACTAACTTTCTTCCACCCGTCTCCAAAACTAGTCAGCATTACGCGTCGTGGTAATCGGTGGTTGAGCGTGTGTGATATGTGGCCCAACCATCTCAGTCGATATAGATTCACAACCTCATCAACTGATTTACCACCATTCCCTAATACCCTGCGTCTAACATCACTATTACTTACCCCGTGATCCTAGTAGATGACAGCAATATTTCGAAGATATTTGTGATCAAATAATGGTAACTTACGAGTATCCTCTACCCTCAATGACCACGTCTCGCAGCCGTAAATTAGAGCAGAACGAATTGCTGAACAGGATACTCGTCCTTTTAATTGATGGACTGATATTTCCCCACCGCCATAGGTCACGTAAGTCGGCAAAAGCTAAACAAGCTTTTTGAATCTACTCCGAGATATAGACGAACATCAACCCATTAGGGCAGATTAGACTTTCAATATATGTGAAGTTGTCGGCGCGTTCAACTTATTTACTCTCTAACCCTAGATCAGGTGTTGATGTAGGCATGTCCTGAAGCAGCAACTTGCAGTTAGAGGGATGTGGGAAACACATCCCAAACATCCTGGGATTGCTGCTCAGTGCTATAATAATTTCTGCATGAAAGTAAATATATTAGGACGGTCAGTGATTGCGTGGGATTACATCCAGTTTCCAGAGTTCAGTCAACTTGACAGTTAAAACGACTGCCATCCTTAAGGATCTCTGATGTTAATTCATTAAGACCAGCTGCTCTTCCTCTTTTCAGACTAGCTATTGCTTTTTGAACTTCAATTCGAGTTAAGGGTCTAGTTCAATGTTTCATTCAGGTTGTTTGGAAATAGTGGGTAGCTGCACAGAAGCTGAACTGCTCCTTCAAGTGTTCCGCCCATCGTTCTAAACGTCGGGATTGAGAGCAGATAAGTGTCGTCTTTTTTCGAGATTGTCTCACACTTATTAAGTCGAGTTTCTTTTATTAATTTGAAGAGCTATCTTGTGATATCCACAGCCGCCGCCTTTACCATCTCTTTTGCTTTCGTTGACCACAACCGCTCACAGTCCTTTCGTCAGTCAGTCAGTCAGTAACAACGTGGAACTTCGTACGTACGTACATCAGTTCGAGTTGCCATGCCACATTAGCACAGAGATGCAGTTATCGATTCAAATCCCGTAGTGGTAGAATATGAAAGTATAAGTAGTGACAGGGAACGTTAAGGTCTGATGATGTTATTCAAGGAGTATAATCCAGTGAAATAAATTTGGAAAGAGAAAAGAAGGAGACATGAAGGATTCAGAAGATTAAAGTTTGGGAGAACACAGAGAGTGGATACACCTGCGCCATGCAAACGATTTTGAGCTATGTCATTCAAGGTCTCTAACCATCGGTTGCTATCATCTCGCGGACCCCAACCACGTAGTCTACACCTACCAACATGACTCAGTCCACCTGTCAGTGACTTCATGGATTTGTGCCATGTTTTGGTCTGGCCGTCACTAGCTTTCTTCCAACCTACTCCTACACCAGAAAACATCGCACGTCGGGGCAGTCGGTGGTCGGGCATGCGCAACACATGTCCCAGCCATCTCAACTGATTAAGTTTCACTACTTCATCAATTGATTTGCCATCCTTACCTAGTACCCGTTTCCTAACAACTGAGTTACTTACTCGGTGTTCTTAGGATATACGAGCAATGTTTCGAAGACACCTATGATCAAATACTAGTAACCTACGAATATCCTCTACTCTTACTGGCCATGTTTCACTGCCATAAAGTAGGACGGAACGAGCTGCTGTGCAGTAAACTCGTCCTTTGGTTACTAGACGGATATCTCGCCTACTCTACAAATGACGCAAGTTGGAAAAAGCTAGTCGAGCCTTCTGTATCCGCGCTGAGATTTCATCACACACCAGACCACAAGGGCTGATGAGACTTCCGAGATAAGTGAAGCGGTCGACACGCTCAACTACTTCACTCCCTATCACTAGTTCGGGTGTCGATGCAACCCAATCCTGAAGCAACATTTTGCATTTCGAGGGAGAGAATCGCATCCCGAACATGCCTGCATTGTTGCTTAGAGTGGTCAGCAGACTCTGCATTTTGTCAGCGTCTTCACCAAATAGAACTATGTCATCGGCATATTCTAAGTCAACAAGTGAATCTCCCGGTAAAAGTTCAACTCCTGGAAATTTAGATGAGGAAAGTGTTATTTCTAAAAGCACGTCAACAACAAAGTTAAACAAGAATGGAGAGAGTGGACAGCTCTGACGAACACCACTTGAGGTAATCAGTTCTGATGACAGTTCGCCATAAGCTCTCACTCGACCAGTTGTGTTCGAGTAGAGAGCTTTTATAAAGTTAATGTACTTCTTTGGTACTCCTTTCAGTGACAAACACTGCCACAGAACCTCACGATCAACAGAGTCAAATGCCGCCTTAAGTTCGAGAAATACTAAACATGTATTCCAGAACTATAGGCAGTCTTCTACCGAGCCTCTCCAATGTTGAGTGATGGTAACATTGTCTATTTCAGTCCATTGTTGGTTTGGTGCAGGGGGTCGCCATCTTAGACGATGTCTCTCCTTATACTGGTCAGAAATAAACTATTGTCTGAGCACAGTTGAAGCAGATGGTCACCATTATGTGTTCGCCGAGCTGAAATACAAAAATGCCCAACTAAATGTCTTTCTGTTTGGTTTAAGCTACCTATTTGGGCATTAAAGTTACCTGCACGAGTACTATGTTTATGTATTTAGCTTTTTGAAGAAGTTCAAAAAGCTTTCTGTAAAATTCATGATTCACTTCAACCGGGCTGCAGGCAATGAGAGCATAGGTAGAAACAAAAAAAAGGCAACGAAGTGTGTATCTCTATGCTTCCGAGTTCTTACGAAGCTATTTGGCCGAACAGCACATAGGTGACTGTTAACAGGATCTATTCTAATAGTGCATGTTTTGCGCTCATATTCAGTGCTATGCTTACACCTGCCAGTGTATGAGAACTAGCCATCCGGTTGCCAGATACACGGAGGGTGTATCTCGTCGGCTCTCCGTTTTGGCGAGGTGAGGTCAAGTGAATATCTACACTAGGACCATATAAGCGTGTTTCGGAGAAATAGTATACATCAATCGTACGAGATTTTAAGGTTTTAGCCAAGTGGGCCTGCTGACCGATTTGACGTAGGTTGCGTACATTGACGGTTCCAATGTGTGGTTTGGAGCAAGGTTTCAGTAGACTTGAGACAGTATTTTGCGCATTGGAATCGTTGGCTGTGGTGACACTTGATGGGGAAGTTTAGAGTTGATAGTTGAGTTAGGAGGAATAATAGGAGTTGAAGAGGGAAATTGATTATGAACACAGTGGTCTTGAGTGCTGTTAGATATGAGGGTGGTTATCACTTCCCTGTTGCTCACACCGTGAAAGATTTCTTTTAGAGGTGCCTGAAAAGTAATTTGGGTTACGGGTAGTCTTAGTGACCTGAGAGCGTAACAGCTTCAGGCCGGTCACGCACGACCTTTTTGTGAATGATTTTCTTGTTGGCTCCGTACTTGTTGAAACCTTACCGATGGAGACGGATATTCGTGGAATAAGGCAAGGTGTGCATCAATAGGTTCGACCTTTTCTAAACCTACCATCCCTTGTGGGAAGGCACTACCGCTGTTATGCTAGTTGTCTGAAGGAAACAACTTACTGCCGTTACACCTCTGTACAGTCAGCATTACAACTTCGCCCTAGGACCTTCGGTTTGCTGCTTTTAGTCTTACCACTCTTCGACCAACCTGTCTGGCATGGTAGGACCTTGAGCACCATTTGTTGCAACCACTATAACCCGATTGGTTCATCACGATAAGCAAGCCCGAGCACCACTTCAAGGTAGCAGCAACGGTTGAGACTACTAGAGTACGGTATTGGACAGTCCTGGAATTCATTATACCATATTAAATTGGAATACTTCTACCGTTTAAAGCAACATTGAACGAGATTTTAAGCATAGTTTACTGACTTACATGACCTGATTTATGATTCATCATGTCCCAAACGGGGATAAGACACATAATTTTATCTCTTCCGTTAAGATGTGGTATGTAATTGCTTCTACTCATTACTGTTGACACAGACCATCTAGGTTAAAATAATAACAAACATCAAATAATTGAAATAGCACTGGAAACAGTATCGTACTGAAGTCATAGAGTAGTTTGACAAGACATGCATTAAAAACTGAAGGTTACACCATTGATAACTAAAAAATCAGAAGCCCGTAATGATTTTAATATGTACCTAACAAACGAATTTCATCATTAATACAGGCGTATGGATTAATTAACATTTTTTATGATGAAAAACCTTTGGTAGTTAAAATCTTCAAATGAGTAACGCTCAATTGTAACTGAACACATGGGTTGGAGAAAGAAAACTATTGTATTATTCCCAGTGTACAAGAAAATAAATACATTTTAGTCAAACACCATAGCATGTTTTCAGACAAATTTAGTATTTTTACCAACAGTATTACTAAAACCTCTTAAATTTTGCATACATTTCGATTTGTCCTCGTTGGGCTGATATGGTGTAGAATCTTAGGTAGATGAACAAATATGCTAGATTCTACTTCGTTTATGAATGATTAATAGACCGAATCTGTCAACATGGAAACTTGAAAATATCCTACGTGAAAGATATATAACTAGTTGTGTGCAACAGATAGTGTGATGCACTCACAAAGCCAGACCGAAAACTGCTTTTCACCGGTGTGAATACACTCGGTTACATAAATATTAATAATTCTCGTAACTATTAAGTTACTTAACGTTAGTTGCAACCCAATGTTCAAAATACAACGTAAAAAATCAAGAAAAAAAATGAGCACACATCTCAACCATTCTAGTCGATACAGACTCACTAGGAAGTCAGTCGACTCACAATCCTTAAGCAGTATTGTCTAATCTCAGAATTCCTAACTCGATAGTCCAAAAACATATGAGCTTATTTATTATATTTATTTGAACACATAAATATTGGTACAAGGGAGCAACAAATATATATGCGCCACACAAAAATATATATGAGCTATGGTTCGGTGATACGTATAATCGAATAGTGTAACCTACAAATACTCTTTACTTTCAAAGGCCACAAAGTACAACGGAGCGAACTGATGCTCAGCAAACTTGTCCTCGAGTTTACTGATAGATATCTCGCCTACGCAACGAGTGATGCAAATTAGCAAAATCTAAACAGGCTTTCCGAATTCGTAAGGAGATTTCGTCAAACAACAACCCACCATGACTGATGAGATTACCAAGATAAATGAAATTATAGACACTCAACTACTTAACTTTCTATCATAAATTCAGGGTTTGACATAAACCGATTTTGAACAACATTTTGCATGTAAAAGTAGACAAACGCAGCTTAAACATCCTTGTATTGTTGCTTAAGGTGATCAAAAGAGCGCATTTTGTCAGCGCCTTCCTCAAACAGAACTATGTCATCTGAATATTCTAAATCAAAAAGTTTTTCGTGGAAGGTCGATTCTTGAAAAGTCAGACGATGAGTGTTATCTAGAAGAATTTCTGCGACAAGATAAACATAGAGAAAGCGGATAATCTTGACCAACACCACTTGATGTAATCGATTTCAATGGCAGTTCGCCACAAGCTTGAACTCAACCGATAGTACTCACGTAGAGAGCCTGTACAAAGTTAATGTACTTCTTTGATACGCTTTTCAATGACATATACTGCTATAAAACCTACTGATTAACAGAATCGAACGCTACCTTGATGGTGTCAAGTGTACTTTAACTACATTAAGAAACACTCTTACAACTTCATTCATCTACATTGAAAATGGAAAAATGAATTACTCCAGTAAATTGGACTGATTTAATGCAAATGACAAGGAGAACAATTGTGAGTTTGAACATCTTGCATTGGGAGAAGTAGTTGTTCGGTTAAATGGGAACAAGAAGAAAGTTGATTGCGACTTATGTCAAGCAACATGTCCTAAGGTGTAATGTTGATTGGTAAATAACAGGACCAGGATAAAAATAGTGGTAATTTACGGAGTGGAAAGTCGTTGGTCTAATCTATTCATTCCAGTATATGCTACTTGCTTGGACTATGACTTAGGATTCCTTGACTATAGATATATATTAGTTGGAATTATTATTATTTAAACATTAGTACAAGGAGGTACCGAATACATATGCGCCATACAAGTCACTTGATTTGTGTGACACTGCCCAGGTGCGCAGACTGAATCAGGTGGTTTTCTTAGAGGGCCACACCGAGTCTTCGACATAAAGGTCTGATCGAAACGCAGTCGAGCAACGTAGGGAGACGCAGTTCCATGGTAGCTGGTGATTAACAACAGGTTCAAACGACATTTGTTTCCTTAGGACCTTGAAGCCCATGTACACCATTGGTTTGGAATCAGGGTTTTTGAACTTCCCTAAGTGTATCTTCCATATCCACTGACACTGTCAAAAAGCCAGACATTCACTTTCCGCCCTCTCAATTTTGTAAAGAACACCTGCACCGCAATAAGGCAGGAAGTAAGACTTCCCTGGCAGTGCTTGTACGCACGTGGCCATGTGAGAGCATTTCGAAGTAAAGAGCTAACTCTCCCCACTTTCGGCCGCATCAAGGCATTTCGAGGCTGGACAATTTGCTGACTCATGTTCCGTCAATTTATGAAAATTTCATTGTGATACTCACTTTGAACTTAAGTCAACTGCTCTCATTTACGTTCGTCTCAACGTCGACACCCGTGCCGACTTTAATAAACGTTTTTTGTGCAGCATTCTGTATTACCTATCTACATTCTTATATCACTAGACGGTTTTCTAAGGAGAAATATGATGTGAATTCCAAAAAAATTGATGGCCATATACGACTCCGACAAGTGCATAGTCAATAACAAATAAGGTGTTTGTAATCACAATTGAAACTACAATCTGTCCCACAACTTAATCCGGTTTATTTATTTAATGACTGGGTTCTATGGAAACACTTCGCTCATTAGGTTAGATGACCTTTGTAGGTTCTGATTGGAGTTTACGGACAAATAATCTTTTTGAATCGAATCAGTTTTATTTTCTAACAAACAAGTAGGACACCTTTGGCATACAAAGGCCGTATTTTTGAAATGCTGAGGATTATATATAAAACAAGGACTATGATAACTATGTATACTTAACTAACAGTATCTGATAAACATTACAACCACAGGCAGAAAGGATTGATGAAACAACGAAATACCCATTTCAGAAAGGCACAATATTGTAATAGTAGCTTAAAGAATATACCACTCAAATATCAAAATATATGTTGTAAATAAATAAACTAACTAAATAAACATTGCGATCACTGACCTATAATCATCGAAACAAAAGACGAAATCCGGGATATCAAAGACCGTTGGGTTATTAATGAAGCGACAGCAAAAGTAAGCGTATTGACGACAAATGAACAGATAGTTCGAAACAATTTTTTCTGAAAAGCGAGGTCAAAGGTCAAGCATTCATATTACCCAGAATTGGCGATCCCTTTAATAGGCGAATATCCACAACGTCCATATACAGATATGTAGAATACTCGGAAGGCAATGTTTCTGTACACTAATTTATTGTGAAACATTTTACTTATATAATCTCGCCATGTTGATTTGTCTCCTTGGTACAGTTCACGCAATAAGCACAAACAAAGTGCAACATTTTCCATACTTGATGCCAGGTTATCTTGTGTTATAAACTCTCCTAACAGATTAAATACTGAAAGATAAAACATACTCAGACATGATGATGAATTTTCTACACAGAATATGGCCCGTCTAGGTAACCTGATTAGTTGTTGACCCTCCTAAAGGTATAAAAGCTTCCAGTATTACCTTTATAGGGACGGAGGCAGTGAGTCCAAACCCATATTTTTCGAACCACTGAACCGCGTAATTATCACATGGAAGAAAATTCTCCAAGTCCTTCTTTCTGCTCTCTCGAGACTTCACCAATTTAGACACATAGCTATGTTCTGAACATGCATCATTCATTGAAACCGCTTACCCTTCTGGACAGAAATAATTTCAGAAGTTAGAGACTGCAATGCTCTAAGAATATCTATCGCATTGGCGGAGGTTATTGTTGAGTTTAAGCATCCTAGGAAATAAAAAGGATAGATCCTACTTTCCATAAGTTTTGCTGCAAGTGACAACGTTTTCTCACACACCTGACGTAAAGTCTTGTCGCGTTTATTCGCCCTACACATTTCACTCAGCCATACAGTAACGCATAATTTCAAATGAACATTATGTCCAATAAGCGATGTCCTTGAATAATCCAATAAAGTTATTTGACATTTTAAATCTAGGTTTCTGATGTTACTGGTTAAAGCGTTGTCAAATTCCGAATACCTGTGGCTTCTTCATTGGTGGTACACTTATGGTGACGTATATTCCGTGATTTTTTGTAACCACATTTTTATTCAATATCCGTTGTTTTTCTGTATCACTTATGTTAAAAAAGATGATAATTGTTTTAATAAGATTTGAACACACTTTTTACTACCGCGCGGATTAAAATATGATACTTTATCCACGTCGTCTGCCCTTCTGCTTTATTGGCCACGGCCTTTGATCGAAGACTATAATAGTATTATAATATCCTTATAGGCCTCCTTGCACTACGTTGGCATTTTGGCTCGGATCACTATTACTTAATACTATTGGCCTCTGTCTTCCTAGTCACGACGTTGGTGCCATCAGTCGCAGGAGAACCTACGTTAAATCGAGTGGACTTATTTGTGGTTGTCATCCCAGGGAGCAGCTTTCAAGTAACATTCATTCTGTAATAATTGTTATTACCATATTGCTCAATACAACACTTGTATTTATAATTGTAAATTTGTTACCCTTGGTTTCTTTTTTACCGTACACAGACACCTAGGGTTTCCACTGTTAACTCTTTTGGCATATTATTATTAGTAACCTGGTGTATTAATATATCTTGTATAAGTTTTTTTGCTGGGAACCACCACACACTATATTGTAAACTGTGAGTCTGTTCCTTTTTGTGATTTTATATATCATTGTCTTATTTTAATTTTTTTTAACATTGTGATATTTTTTCCCCGTGTTTTTGGGCTTATATATATATTTGCCACTCGTTCACCTTTCGTACTTGATGTATTACTATGACTGAACAGACCCCTAAAGTATTTAAGTTAAAGACTGTTTCCCCATCCACTTTCCAACTTATGCCTTTCTGGCCAGACAACATCGAAGCCTGGTTTTTGTTACGCAAAAGCCGACTTCTTCGAGCACGGTGTGAACGATGCGCGTATACAATTCCTCGCAGTAGTCAAGGCACTACCGCGAGAATTTAACAGGTACGTAACACCTAGTATGTTTACTAATGATGTTTCTGGTCCATACCAAACCCTGAAACATGCTATCCTTAAACGCGGAGATCTAACCGATCAACAAAGGTTAGACCAACTCCTCAACAACATCGATCTGCAACACGGTTCTGCCACAGACATGTTGCAAAGGATGCGAGAAGTCATTGGCCAAAGAACCTTCGATGACGGCCTATTCAAACAGCATTTCTTATCCAAACTTCCTCAACAGTTGCAAGCTGTTTTGGTCTCGTTCCAAAACAACGTCGTAGACGAGCAAGCTGCATCTGCCGACCGCATTCTCGAAATCACTAGGTCTTCTAACGCCGAGGTTTCTTCAGTCAAAGAAAAGCCTTAAACGACCTAGAACGACATAACACAGTTATGTCATACACTTACGCGTTATCTCAAACTCTGTAACGACCGTAAACGGTCACTTACCTTGCGGAGAAGCACATCGCGTAAGCGATCTGTATCTAGAACTCGAGAGACGGATGATCCTGATTGGTGCTGGTACCATAATTAGTACGGAAAGTCCGCTAGAAATTGCAGAAAACCCTGCAATTTTCCCAACGCGAAATCCGTCGACGAGAAGAACGTTTCGGTAAACTTCCAAGCCGGCACGCGTTAACGGCGACCGTAGCCGGCGAACATAGCCGTCTTTTATATGTCACCGATGTGATAACGAGATTTCGCTACCTCGTCGATACTGGCGCCGAAGTTAGCGTTCTCCCAGCGAATTCCGAGGACAGACTACACGAGCCTGTTTTAAATCTACAGGCGGCAGACGGAAAGCCTATCGCTACCTATGGCCAAAGGTATGTTTATCTTAACGTGGGTTTACGCAAACCCATTCACTGGATCTTTGTTGTTGCAGATGTTTCTATGCCAATCATTGGTATGGACCTTCTACAACACCACAACTTAATTATCGATGCGCGCAAGCGGAGGCTAGTAGACGGAAATACCAATTTATCTGTTTGCGTAACTTCTTTTTCTGATTTCAGGTTATCTCCAGTCACTATTAAGCACACTATAGACCCCTTCTACCAACCACTACTCGATAAATATTCTGGCATTTACCAATCGCAAACGAAATTGCCGTGTGTAACCAGCAATATTACACATCACATCACGACTACAGGACCACATGTCTTCTCGAAAGCACGCCGACTGGCCCCCGAAAAGTTAAGGTTGGCGAAAAACGAATTTGACCATATGATAAACTTAGGAATCATACAACCGTCAAATAGCCCATGAGCATCTCCGTTGCACATGGTCCCTAAAAAGGACAGCAACGATTGGCGTCCAACTGGTGACTATCGGAGATTGAATGCAAAAACCATTCCCGATCGTTACCCGTTGCCCCACATTCACGATTTGACTGCAATCTTGAAAGGTGCAACTGTCTTTTCAAAAATCGACTTGGTAAAAGCTTATAACCAAATTCCTATGGCCACTGAAGACATTCCAAAAACCGCTATTATAACGCCTTTCGGACTCTATGAATTTTCGCGAATGCCTTTCGCTCTGAGAAACGCGGCACAGACTTTCCAAAGGTTCATAGATGACGTTTTTCGAGGTCTCAACTTCGTACATGCATACGTTGATGACTGCCTAATAGCAAGTCTGGACAGAGAATCACATCTCCAGCATCTGGACCTTGTTTTCGACCGACTATAAAAACATGGCATTACTGTAAACATTCAGAAATGCCTAATCGGAACCGAATCCTTAGACTTCTCAGGACACACCGTAGATGCGCATGGCATTCGACCCCTTAGAAAAGAAGTGGCGGCCATTCTGGATTACCCAGAACCGACCACCATCAAGCAATTGCGCACGTTTAACGGTCTGGTAAGTTTTTATAGACGATTCATACCGAAATGCGCGTTACTTATGAAACCCCTTACAGACCAACTTCGTAGAAATGCGAAATCCATTAATCTAGATGACACTACCCGAAAAGCATTCTCCACGGTTAAGGAACATATCGCCCGAGCAGCAATGCTTGCTCATCAGGACCCTAAAGCGCCCATTAGCATCTCAGTAGACGCATCCGACTCAGCAATCGGAGCAGTCTTACAACAATGGGTTAACCACTCCTGGCAACCCTTGGCATTTTTCTCTAGACGGTTGCTAGACACTGAATCGAGGTACAGCACATTCGGTAGGGAACTCCTAGCTATGTATTGTGCTGTCCGGCATTTTCAACACTATATCGAAGGCCGTGAATTTACCATTTTTACCGACCATAAACCACTTAGGTTCTCCTTAAGCTCTTCTTCGGACAAGTACTCACCACGTGAGTCTCGACAACTGGACTACATTTCGCAGTTTACCTCAGATATTCGACACATTTCTGGAGCAAACAATGTAGTTGCAGACGCCTTGTCTCGTATAAATTCCTTGAACAGTTCCCAAGGAATCAATCTTTTAAAACTCGCCCAACTTCAAAAAGAAGACAGTGATCTTCAGCACGAGTTGGCCTCAACAACACTTAAACTGCGCATTAAACAGATGGGAACAGGTAAGGAAACCTTACTTTGTGACACACCTACAGGTAGGGATCGCCCAATCGTGCCGAAACAATATCGACGCAACGTCTTCGATACGTTGCACAGACTTTCTCATCCAGGTGTTCGTGCAACCATCAAGCTTATAGCAGAACGGTTTTGCTGGCCTAGTATGAATAAAGACGTGAGGGAGTGGGCACGCTCCTGTGTAAGCTGCCAGAAATCTAAGGTGATTAGCAATAACAAATGTCCCTTAGGCTCGTTTAAAACTCCCGATGCTCGCTTTGACCATGTTCATTTGGATTTGGTAGGACCTTTACCAGATTCGAATGGATATTCTTATCTTTTAAAATGCGTAGACCGTTTTACTCGGTGGCCAAAAGCAGTACCCATCAGAGATATTACTGCTGAAACAGTGGCCCGCGCCTTCGTCGAGAGGTGGGTAGCAAACTTCGGCTGCCCAACAACCATTACTACAGACCGTGGACGTCAGTTTGAATCTGAACTGTTCCGTTGTCTGACCATGAAACTAGGAATCACTGGCTTTCGAACGACGGCATACCACCCACAAGCAAACGGGTTAGTAGAACGTTTTCGCCGACAACTAAAAGCGTCACTATCAGCCTCAAACATTTCTCAGTGGACTGACGCTCTTCCACTCGTCTTACTAGGCATATGCAATGCAGTGAAATCTGACATTGGATACACTGCATCTCAACTCGTTTATGGTACGAACCTCCGACTTTCAGGAGACTTCGTGGATCCTTCATCCTCTTCGATGAACGCAATGCGTTTAGTTAAACTTGTTTCCACTCGACCACAATCAACTGACGTTTTTGTTCAACCTGACTTACGATATAGTACAATCGTTTTCGTGCGTCGAGACTCACATCGACGACCTCTCGAATCAGCATACGAAGGGCCTTTCAAAGTTCTTCAACGCGAACCTAAGTACTATATGATCGATAAGAACGGAACCAACGATAGCATCAGCGTCGATAGCCTCAAAGCAGCGTATTTAGAAGGAAATCCTATTCACGTCGATTTTCCTTCAATACAATCGCACGACACAACTCCTGCACTTATAATACCTCAATCGACAGCAGACACACACGTTGATACTGCGACAGTATCCGAAAATAAACTCAAAACAACGCGTTCTGGAAGAAGAGTAAGATTTCCAGAACACTTGAACGATTACTGCACGTAAGACACAAGTTAACATTTTATATCCTCTCGATTTTCCCTGGTACTATATATAATTTTTTTTTAAAAAACCCCCGAATTTAATATGCTTATATATTTTTATTATTTTTTTATTTCAAAAAAGAAAAAACAAAAAATAACGATATTATAAAAATCTTATTTTACGCTACTACGTGAGCATGAGTTTGTTTTCCTTTTTCTTCGCCCGTTTTGTGTTCTCACGCGCGTACGAGTGTATCTCGACATGCACTTACATATTTTTCTTTTCTTTTCCAGGACGACTGGAAAAGACGATGAAAAGAACGATGAAGTTGCGAGAAACGAAAATCTGCATTGTACCTTTTTTTTACTATATTGTACATCATGGTCCATTATAGTAAGGAAAGACGACCAGACGCTGCTAAACCTAGCAAGCTATCAGAAGAGTGTTTACCAACGAAAATCTCGTTGGGTTTAAACTTCTGGCTGGCCACGTCTTAGGGTCATCACTACCCCACTAGGTGGGAGTGATCTGTAGCGGTAAATAATTCCCCAAAATCAAATAGCTCTGTAAGTTTTCGACATTGGATGCTGACCACATTAGTTTTAATGGACTCATCTAGCTGAAGGCGCTCGGTCAGGCATCCGCACCAGATCAGGTGTGGGAACGCCGTGCTCAACATCTGCCTCAATCGCTAGCCAGATTAGTGCAAACGATCCTCGATATATTGATAGCTTATCAAATATATCTTCGATCTCCTCACTTCTGTCTTTTGATTTTATTTGGTGGGTGCGCTTCGTATTAGAAGGTGTTACTGGTTAAAGCGTTGTCAAACTCCGAATACCTGTGGCATCTTCGTTACACAACCTGCTCACCTCTATGTTTTCTTTTTTTCTTATCTTTACCAGCCTGCTCCTTACGAGGATAATAGGGCATCAGAGGTTCTCAGTGTCCAGATTGTTACTGTGGATAAATGTATGTATATTTTTGTGTGAATTTTCTAGCTCTAATGTAATCTCATCAAATACTGAAAGTTATTGGTCATCTTGATGGACAAACAATTTAAAAATCTTTCCTGAGTCTAAATCTTGACATTCCTGAACATTTAAGACTTTCAGATGACATTTGTTTGGCAAGCGTCTAGCGGAATTTTTTGTTAGATATGACCAGTTGGTCGAAATAATGGGGTTTTGTGGATGGATCCAAAAGATTCAAAGGCAAACCGAAAGAAATGATATGCTAAACTTGGTATTTCAAATTGATTTCGATCCTTTCTTAACTCATATCAATTCGGGGCATTTTATAAGTGATCAAATTGATGCAATGTGTATATTCAATTCATTGACAGTATTGACGAATAGTTCTGGCAAAACCGTTGGGAAAATCGCTATTGTCTTCGACAACAACCTTTCGAGCATTCGGAAATTACATTTATTGATTCTCACTTCTCAACGTAGTAATAGCCATGCAAACTTTGTCAGCATCTACCCACTGTAAATTAGAAATGATTAAAGGAATTGCTTGTCGTCCAGCATTTAATAGGATGTATAATCAGAAGGCGTGTTGATCTGAAAGTTTGGGAAAAACGGGAAAAGATTCTCGGCAACTGATCATGTAAATAAGAATAACTTACATTTATTAACTAAAGAAATGGACGACATTTACGAATAATACGAGTGCAGAACTTATCTGTGGGGCCAGTGAAATATTACTGAGCTCTAGCCAAATCATCCGGCAGTTGAGACACTGAATATCGAATCGATAATTGATCCTCGTCGAGATCAAAGGAAACCAACGCGCATCAGTAAATTGAATGTCATGGACTGGCTAAAGCGGTGGTCTCGCTATCTTCTCTGTACTTTTTCTAAGTACTATATTTCCATAGTAACGTCCTTTGTGTTATGCAGTATTCAAAGCGGACATAGTATTCTCATACGTCGAAGGGGCAATCAACGTTAGATGCCGACTGCTAGGTGTGGATTCGAAGTGAGCTGGTTCGTCACACCAATCATGTCTAACTCGGATAAACCTCCAGTCAGTCGTCAAAATTCATCTACCTTGTTGATCTATAAACCGAAGGATTAGTTTTAATTTGGTTATTTCTTCTCTGAAGAAGTGTCTTACACTAAACCGCGAAACGTCAGAAAATCTAGTTTCTTTACTCATTGGGATATTACAAATATACTATTTATTTAAGACAGAGGAATGTTTCTAAAAAGCTACATTTGTGCGACGGTTTACGAGCGAGACATATTACTGTGGCGCAAAGTGAGAATCCGAATATCTGGAAACACATAAGTCCACATGCTAGATATTCAATATTATTACAGCTACAAAATGTACGATATCTGCACAATGAACATTGCTTTCGGAAGCTGATTAAAAAGAGGTTTCACATCCACGTTAGCCTTCATGCCCTTTCAACCTTCGTCCTGGTGGGAATGTTAAAAAAATTCACTGTTTGTTTTATTTTCGCTTCTATTTGTTTGTAGCTTAGTTTAATGAGTTGATCGATACATGCAAGCTGTATGTAGTGTGCTCCGCCTCAGTTGAAAATGGTTAATCTTAATTTTCTGGCTCGGTAAAAATAAGTTGTTTTTTGATGCCTAAATATTTCAAAAGTCTTTGCAAACGACGTTGTACTTCACTACCATAGATGAGCAGTGTCGAATGATTTGAAGCCTAATAGAGTTAGACGGATAGGTGCGACGGACAAGCCAAATTCGAAATCACACCATACTGTCTGTATCTGACATGGATTATCCTTTCTTTTTATTATGGTAGCTACTTTGGGGACGATATAACACAATAAACGTTAAAACAGATATATATTAGTAAGATTAGGTAAAAAAAGAGTGCAACCATCACTGCATGCGCCTGTCTATAACGTGCAATTAATTGATGCGTGTTCGCTGTCTTTGATCACGATAAGGATTGATGACCAAAATGACGGATGACTTGGCTAGGACACAGCGACATTTCACTGGCCCTATAATGACAATTTGGCTTTATTTCGCATTTGATGGAAAAAGAATTACGTATTGCATTCATAGATGTACTAATAACGAAATTAGGCCTGGATTTGGTGGATCTTTGAAGAACAGATTTGAACTAATAGTAGGATCTATATATTGATGCTGAAAAAATCAGTTACCACACCTGAGTGGCAAAGTCACAAAATCACGTTCAATTCCTTGCTTAGATACTTTGCTTTAGTAATTGCATTAAAGGAGCTTAGATGAAACCGAGAGATAATTTACTAAAGATGGGAGTCTGGTGAGGGTAATCAACTGAGTCCATTGTAATAAAATTCTCCTAAAAATGTATGTCTAAGTTCAACCTACAGCACAAATAAAGAAGTGTATATATTGTTAAAAAAGTGTCACGGTATAGTTTCTCTCAGTCCCACGCCTTAGTTCGGTCGGTCGAATGCTTTGATATTTTCGTAAGCGTATAGATAATAAAGAGACTTACTGAAATAATGAATAACGCATTCATTTGGCATCCAAAAGTTTTTTATGGAAAGCTCACTTACGCTCCTTGGACATCATGAACAGCATTAACTTTTCCACGATGAGAAAATTTAAAAACGAATGGTGGGCTAATATTGTGTTAAGTGCTACCAGAAATCAATTATAACGGTCAATAATTTTATTTCAGTTCTAATTATTTTACTGATTTACCGAAACGGTAGTTTTTAAAAAATTTATACAACTTGTATTTCACTAGAAGTTCGCATACGTTTGTATTTGAAATTATTGAATTTTCAAAATTTAGAGACATGTGCGTAAACTTGTGTCAAAATCAGTTTCAGTTTGAAAAGGACAGGAGGATTGATGGCCTGTGTTAGTCCTGGAAGTGATGTTCTCTCCGTTGATCCATTTTTCTTATGAAAGAATCGATGGATGGAGCTTCAACCACGTGCTGAGATAATGAATTCCACTCGTCGATGATTCTATGGAGAAGTCGATAATCAGCTGACAAGTAATTTGCTCTGGGTTTGTGAATTTTTTTGGAGTGCCCTTGTAAATTCTTTGTTTTGGAAGACAAGAAAAATGTGGGCATATCAGGTGCAAATTGATCACTAAGCAATGTGAAAACTGTAATCAAGGTTTAGCATGGCCAGTCGAGCATCATACGGAAGTTTCTCTATTCCGGGAATCAGCTTAGTTTCTGTTTTCTGGACCTTTTCCAAAAGCTCACTGTCTTTTTTAAGCAAGGGCTAGCCGCTTGTATACAGTACTTAAGTTTAGGACGTACAAACACTGTATACAAAGTCAAAAAATTTTTAGCGTTGACATGAGTAAAAGCTTTACACATTGACCATAAAATTCTAAAAGCTTTGGCGGCTATTGCACGGCAGTGTGCAGTAGTCTTTATATCTTGGCTAACGATGACTCCTAAGTCATTATGTGTCTGGAAAACAGGTAGCTCAGGGTTATTCATAGTGTATGTATCTGTACCTTGATGACCGATATGCATCACAACACACTTGGAAGTATTTATAGACAACTGCCAATATGAGACCATCCAGATAATTTCTTCAGGTCGTTTTGGAGATCTAAGCTATCACCCTTACATCATACCGTTCTCCATATCTTTAATTCGTATGCCAAGACAGATGATGATAATAGGGGAGGAGGGTCATTTACACACAAGAGGAATAGCATCTGCCTCAAAACTGTACCCTGGGGCACTCCAACAAACACAGTTTCTTAGCTAGATAACTTTGAGTTCACCTGTACTATTTGTTGGCGCCCAACGAGGAAGTCTTCTATCCACATCAATAGATCGCCTCCGATTCCAACATTTTAGCTTATATAACAGCCGGTTGTGGGGAACTTTGTCAAAAGCTTTGGTGAAATCAATGTAGGCTACGTCTACAGGTAGCTTTTGGTCTTTAAGAGCGCACCAGCTTTCACGAGCGACTAATAAGTTAGTGAGACAAGAACAACCTATACACTTATTATTTTAAGCTAATTTGATTGTCGCCATAACTCATGTTTTTAGCTGGATAGATGTTCTTCATCAAGAATCAACATCTTTTGCATGGAGGCATATTTAATGCACTCTTTGTTATGATGCACTGCATTTCTTTGTAGGTCAATAATAACATACAGCGCGCATCACAGTTTTTTTTGTTTGTGTTATCTGATGTTCGACTTGTGTGCCAGGTATCGGGTTGGTTGAAATAAATTGTATTAGCATTCACGGGTTACTAAGCTTACATTTTTTACTCTTTTCAGAGAGCTACACCATACTATCGAGTATTACATATTGTATGAACAGGGTGATCATGGTGAGTCATATATTTAATACAGGACATTGAGTTAATGGTAAACTTTAACTCCTTGCGCATCAAAATTCTTGAATTCAAAGAAAATTTTCTCAGTTGTTCGCTTTTTCACACATCGAAAATTGTCTGCGCTATTGTTTCTTTGCATACTGAGTACAGCTCTGCATGTCATCATTTAATTCCTGGTTTTGATCTTATTTAGGTCATGAAAGTTAACAATTTCAGTAAATGTAGCATCACTGCACAATATATGATTCTCAGTGTCCTAGAGACTGACATATTTCGATATATTTACCTGATGCGCACTTTGTTTATTTCTGCTGTTTTTTGATGATTTTGGCGATGCGCATTGGGTCTAGAAGTCAGTTAAACTAGATCTACGTATTGTTGTTAGTTTTTGATAGTTTTCGTTTCTCTGAACTCCACACAATATTTGGTGGTACAGTTTTTAAACTATAATGACTTATCTTATGAATAGGTCCGTAGTTATTTCGAATTCTCTACATTCACTATACATAATTGTTTTTAATCAACCTACTTCATTTTAATAGTTTAATTTGTAACAATTACTGCTAGACATTTGTAAGTTCTAGGACAGCCTTTGTATTACTTACCCAAGTAACAAAGTGAATGATTCTTTTCAAATACTGCGGACTTTTGATATTCTAAAATAACGTAACTTTAACACTTTACTTTTTTTGTTGTTATTTAAACATATCCTTGTAGTTTGTGTTGTAGGTTTTACGTTCTTAGTTCTCCATTATTTGATTTCTATCGATGCTCTCAATGAGGCACTAAAAATCCAAAATATCGCTCGACAGTTTGTTTACTATCACTCATATAAAACGTGTCTTGCATAATTTATACTTACAGTTGATGCCTGTGTCCTCAATTTATTTTTGATTCTACGAGATGGTCATAGTTCTGCTATCAAACTAAAATAAACCATTCATTGTGTTCAGTTAAAAAAGATAAAATCTACGTCTCAAATTATCTGGTTTTTACAAAAGCATTTTTAAATTTCATCAAAATATTGTTATGAATTATAATGTTGAAAGTAAAAACCCTACAAATCCGACTGACAAAATCTACGCGAATAATGTTTATTTTTATGCTTGCTCGAAATAATTGCCAGCTAATTTGATTTTTAGAATACTTTAATTTTTATAAGATTTTAAAACGAGGGATTTTTCATATGATTGGATTTAAGCATTCAATTTAGCGGTTGGTCTGAATAAATGTCATCAAGATATTACAAAATAATTCACACTTTTTTGTTTTTTGGCACTTTATTAATTTAATTCACTGAACATTTTTAATACATGTTGTAGGCCCAGCTGTCAAAAGATGTTATCCCAGTGATCTATCTAATGTATTCATTGAACGTATAATCGAATTTGCATTTTGTTGTGATGAGTAAGGTTCTCTAAATTTGCTTTATCTCCATAATTTTATCATAAAGTAGACGTTTATCAGTGGAGGAATTTGTGATTGTATTCACAGATGCCAAAGGCATATTGGAATTCGTTTTTTGTTACCAGCCAAACGAAAGATTTCTGCTTTGCATTTCAAGGTAAGTGTTTTGACTTTATTTCTTCAACAATAATAGTTCTCATTGCCATTTTATCTGGATATGGTATTGTGGATCGAATAACATATTATTTATGCTAATTATCTTAGTTACATCCTTATCATATTGTACACATAAGCTGCACGAATGTTTGCTAAAAGTATAGCAGATTGAAGTGACATGAGATCAAAATTATTGGTAGGCTATCATAACAACCTGCGTTCACTCAATGGTTCTAACATATACGAGCACCTCTTCAATGTTACGAGTGACTTACACTTAATATTTTTGTTCTGCAGTTATTATTTTCTCGTCTTAGTTCTTTCTAAAACTAAGTCTCATTATGATTATATGAAGTGTATCTACCTTGAATGGACGTATATTTGCACCTATTCCTTGCTTCCTTTCATCAGTATGATGTTAATCGTCTATCTCAGTAGCTAACGGTCAAGTTTAGTAAAATTTTTTTTCAAACTAATCAGATGAGTTATTCCTTCTAGTAGATATGTAATGGGTATGCAGTCAGTCAGTCAGCTGCAACGTAGGATCAAGCAATTATATTCATTGGTCCAAGTTGCCGTACGTCCTTAGCACAACAAGATGAACACCGAATTCATAGAAGTAGTTAATTCAGTGGTGGTAATATATAGAAGGAAGATTGCATATAAGGACATAGTACAGGAATAAAGAATTATTTCGTACAAAAAAATGATATGAAGCGATTTTAATCTCTTAGTTTAAAGGAAGACAGAGAGTGTATACACCTACGCCATTGTGATAGATTCTGAGCCATGTCACCAAAAGTCTCTAACCATTGGTTACGATAGTCACATCAATCAAGTAATCTGCATCTACCAACATTGTTCAGACTAGAAGTTAGTGATTTCAAGCACTGATGCCACGTTTTGGTTTGGCCGCCCCTAACTTTCTTACAATTATCCCTAACATCGGTTGTGGTAAGTGCAGACGTATAGTAGAACGGAACAAACTGCCGCGCAGTATACTCGTCCCTTAATTGATAGACGAATATCTCACCTTCGCCATAGGTGACGTAAGTTGGCGAAGGCTAAACGAGCTTTTCGAATCCGTGCTGAGATTTCGTCAGACACCAAAACATTTGGGCTGATCAGACTTCCAAGATGGATGAAGTTGTCAACGCGTTCGACAATGGATATGCTTTAAATTTGAAACAGTGTCTTTAGGTAATTTTAGATTTTTATGTTGTTACAATGCTTCGAAATTTAAAGGTTACTCATGAACTCCTCACTCATAGAGTTTGTTTGGTTGATTTCGTTATTTATAAATGATCTAAAAATATCTATTGGTTTTAATTGTTACCACTCATTAACAAAATGCACTTTTAATTTCAGATATACTTACGCCTGTCACACTAAAGTCTTTGTTGTCCACTTTTTGTTTGAATATATTACTGCAGATAGACATCAAACACTTTGATGCTACTCAATAATTTCAATGTATTACACTAACTATTAAGAAGTTTGAACTTTTCCTAAGTCTGAAGTACAACTTGATTTGCTTCATAAGAGTAGATGAATTAATGCTAAAAATGACATATTTTGGAAAAAAAATGAATTCTTAGTTAACCACTTTAGAAGTTGCATTCATCTGTAAGCGAACATCAACTAGATTGTTATTAAGTTGTGGTTTACATTTTGTCTATTATTTCAATGTATATTTAGGCGCAAAAAATATTATTATTGTTGACTCAATAATTACTACTTTACTGGCGTAAAAAGGATGTTGATTAGTTGTTTTTTATTAAACTACATTTTGTTTGATTTAGCAAATTTCCTTGGTGTGAGTGCTTTCACTCTCTGCTAAGCATTTTATGGCATCATGGTCTTTATCGTGATGTTCACTGGTCCATCATGGAGCCATTCTTCTCTCACCTAAGTTCTGCTATTCCACCTCGTTTACCGATCGATCGTATTCAATGTGCGAATCCATTCAACCCGTCTATGGTATGCTTAAATAAATTTAATTTTCAAATTGAACTTACATTTCATAAACCTTATTTGAAAAAATGGTTCAACTTGCTATAGATACAGCTCCGCTTTAATTTGGATATCTGGATGCTATAATTGATTCTGCAGCATGTAATGATAAATCCTCATTAGGATACACTCACTCATTAGACAAACTAGAGGAGTACAGCATGTCCTAGTTACGTTTAACAATAAATAAGGTTTCTGTTGACCAGAGCACGAAATTATATTATCTACTTAAAGTACTATTTATCATGTGAGTCTCAATTAAATTGAGATATAAATTAGCGGTTGATATTACTTCCATGGGTAAAGAACACTGTTGTTTTGTTTTCAAACAATCCCTTAACTACTAATCAAAAGTCACCATAATCGATTTAGCTCGTCTAAATACTATGAATTTGCTATCAGCACCAACCAAGACGTTTATTTACTTTTTGAAATAAAACTTATCTGAGCTTTTGCCGTTTTAAATTTGTTCCCACAGTAGTTACTATTGTCACTAGTGTGTGATTGATGTGCTCAATGTAAACATTGAAACTGAGAAGTAGGTATATACAGCAGCCGAGTCCCAAAATCGACGAAGCGCTCGTCGTCAATTCAATTACCGACTGCTATAAAACCTTATTTGGAACTTGTTAGTAATCATTTTGCTTATAACAACATTCAAAAGAGGTTTTTGGATAGTGGTTCCATTGAAAAGAGCTCTTTTTATCCTATTTTGTGATTGTTTGTACTTTTTTTAAACTTTTCAACCCTTTCACAGTCAAAATCAAGTTTTAGAAAAGTATAAACTCTAAATTAAAATGAAGTGAATACTTAATACAAACGCAACATACTATGTAAACTGTTATATCTAAAAAATTAATAAACTGATAATGGAATTATATTTTAGGGTTTTGTGCTCCGAATTCCAACACCCCAATCTCCACATTATTTGGTAAGTTTTGGTATTTTCACATACATTATAATTTTTCAATAGAACTACGTTATAGAGTATTACAATGCATTGGATCTTTCATTGTGGATACATATATTTGTAAGGTGAGAATTCATTTCGCTATTCCAAATTTCTTTTAAACCTTTGTGATGATAAATGATGATAGAGTAGCAGTCATTTAAGATTACTTAAAATTATTTAATTCTTATCATTGTTTATCACATGACAAAAGCATTGTGCTGACTCAATTTATAATGAAAACATAAAAGCATGATTCACAGGTAAAGGATTATAACTTTATTTTATGAGTCTTTTGAAAATGACTTCATTTCAGTTCTAATCGAGATCATTAGATGTTTAAAGCTCCAAGCATCAACGGAATCTTAAATAGACCCTTATTTGCTGGCGTAAAATATATTCGAAGCAGTCTTAATATAATATTTGTAAATTAGCTTCTTTTCTTCCAGCCACTGTGGGTTTTTGTACTGGTATTTTTAGGACTGATTATGAAAATGAAAACATAAATATGACCCATTGATAGACAGTGAAATACTCTGTATTGCTCATCCAGTGTTATAATCAGAGATTCTAATGAAGGATTGTCATAAAACGTTGTCTTAGTTATCTTTTTGCTTGTTCTTTGGATTCTTTTGTTTTTGTTGTTTATAGCTTACTTTTGGAGCGAAGTTTACTATTCTGTTCAAGACGGTTGACAAAGTTGACAGCGTGTGTCTTAACTTCAGTTTCATTGTTGTATCCGATTCAATGGTAAGTCAGTATTACTCATCTATTGTTTCTTTCTTCTTTCGGTATAAATTTTGATTTGTTTATTTCCACAATGATGCGATGTTTTGCATCGCGAAACGTCATTTCACTTTATATTCAGACTCTTTGGTAGTGCTCACATGAGATCAAGCTCAATTAATTTGTGGTATACATTATAAGCATAGATGATTAAGCTCCGATTCAATGGTTTATAGGTGATACTCATGCTTTAAAACATGAATGCCCTTCTTCCCATCTCATATATTCATCAAGATTGTGTAACGTTTTGAACTCAGAAACCAGAACAAAACAGCCATTGGATTGTTAACACATACATGTAAGGGAGTTTGTGATGCTACTTGACTTCCCAAGCTGAAGTGTGCGAAGCTGAGTTTGAACCGACAACCTATTAGTTAATAATTGATTACTATAAAGATTAGATCGCCACCCATTTTTTCTTAAAAATATTTGATTACTGTTTATTTAGTGTTCTGGAATACGTTATTCTTTTACATATCAGCCCTCACAAAGAAAATTATCCCATCAGACCATTTTTGTCATATTCATTCTGCTTACATTCACATAGATTTATTTTATGAAAAGATAGTGTTCATGTAAAGCTCATCATTTCTTTTAGTTATGTTAATCATATAACTACCTGTCAACGATTGAAAATTCACCTTAACTGTTACGTCATATATACTTACACCAACCAAATAAGACTTTATATCTTAGCGAAATGTCTTTAACTTATTATTGTGTGTTTCGAAATAAATGAAATAATACATAAATATATTCTTCAGAAATTTCATTGATCTATAATGAAAAATGATCTATTCTTGTGTGACTGTTTGTCAGGCTTTCTTTCTCAATTTTTCATCACTTTTATTTTCCAGACAACTCTGTGATTGACAGAAACTTTTTCGTTAGTTGCATTTTAAATCACTAAAAAGAATTTCACGTTTGATGCATAATCAATAAAGTATAACTGACTCCTCTGGTTGAATAAGTGTATTCTGACTAGCTGACATTTACCAGTGTAATATTCGTTTACTTTTGTTGACAATAATTATTAGATTGTTTTAGTTATTTCCATCGCGGTATAGCATTTGTGAATTTGATTTGTACCACAGAATGATGTTTGATATAAAATAATTGGGGACGAGCGAGGATCACTGAGCAGTTGCTTGATTGTAGTTTATGTATTTACAGTAATTCACACACTAGCCAACTGGACTATATTCATTTCAGTCGGGATTTTAATTGTATCCTAGTATATATTTTGTTTTTGTCTGTTATGTAGAAGTTGCTAAATTTATCACCAAATTATAAATTAATTGTATAGCTAAATCAAAAAGTTCAAAGCTAATTGATAAGCTGATCATATGGTTTTCTCTTGTACTTTTATTAAAATGTTTACACTATCTGACAGTAATTTTGATGAATGGCTGAGATCAGCCAATATAACAGCTACTAATTAACGTTAGGCGTCCCAAGTTAGGCTCAATCAGCTCATTTTTTTGGTTTACATTATTTATTCAAATAATTATTATCTTTAATTTCAAATCTTTCAAATTTCAAAAAGATTCTTCAAATAACAATGACTAAGTAGACTAAATAACTCTTCAATTCACATTTTGATAGAATCATTATCACATGTAAACTGATCTCTACTGAATATCCACTGAGAATATGAAGTTTTCAGTTAAAATTGTTTTTCACGAATTTAAACATTACAACGTCGAAACTACCCATTCAACAGAATGTTGTCAGTGATTTCACGAATATTCCCAACATAAAATGACTGAAATAGATATTGTTCACTCGATGTTGTATCAAAAAATGGGATAATTTTTCAAACCGTAGTTATTTACTATCATGGAAACTAGGGTTGTATGTATTGGTTTCAGCAAATGAAGACCAGTACCTATAATTTAGAAATTAATTCAGTCAAATCTGTTTCGATCATGAGTAAACTGAAGCTAGATCACCATTGAAAACCTGGAAGCATCGGACGGCCGTTTCGTCCTATTGTGGGACTCCTCAGCAGTGTGCGTCTACGACTCCGGTCCGCGAGATTCCAACTCAAGACCTATCAGTCTCGCGCGCGAGCGCATAACCTCTAGACTACTGAGCCGGTACTTTGAGGAACTCTTGAATAGACCAACTTCATTGAATTCACCGGACATCGAAGCAGAAAACACAGACCTTCCTATAGATGTCGTTCCATCAACGACGAAAGAAATTAGGATGGCTATCAGACATATCAAGAGCGGGAAAGCAGCAGGATCTGACAATATAACAGCCAAAGCACTGAAGTCAGACATGGAAGTAACTACAAACATTCTTCACATACTATTCAACAAGATTTGGGAGGAGAAACAAGTGACGATGGACTGGAGAGAAGGATACCTCATCAAGATTCCAAAGAAAGGAGATCTGAGCAAATGTGAAAATTACAGAAGCATCATACTGCTGTCAGTACCAGGGAAAGTCTTTAACAGAGTGTTGCTCAACCGGATGAATAATTCAGTAGACACCCTACCCCGAGATCAAGAGACCGGATTCCGTAAAGATCAGTCGTGCACAGACCAAATTGCGACACTACGGATCATCGTCGAACAATCAGTCGAGTAAAACTCATTATTATACATCAACTTCATTGACTTTGAGAAGACGTTTGACAGTGTGAACAAGAGAACATTATAAAAAGTTCTTCAACACTACAGAGTACCTGAGAAATTCGTCAACATCATACGGAATTCATGCTTTTACAAGTTCTTTTCATTTCCAATAATTATTAGTAATAATCAGGTGGCCATTGTTTTCTGAATATACCAGCAATGATTTGTTGATTTTCACAGTGGGACTCCAACCTTACCACTGATCACTTCAAACACCAAAGGGTTATTTTATAAAATATTTAATCATGATAATCAGTAATATGTTAAATTGCTATGACATTTTTTAAACATTTTAAATGGTTCACATTTTCCTTTTGTTGGTAATCAAATTAAATCTGTCAAAACAATGCACACATTCTAATTTCTACTAGTAGGATGGTATTCAACATCTAGCTAGTTATCTCAGCCAATTTCAAATTCAGTAATCTGTAAGACATATCTAATATTTTGTTATTCTTGTATGTACATCTAACTTATCTATGGTTTTAAAATTGTTGTCAGTTTGTAACTATTTTCCAACTATGGTTCATCATCTTATTATTAAATTAAACTCTTTCATTCTCTATATTATTTATGTATGGGACGAATTAGTTCTAGTGAAAAGCCGTGACCAATGGAGTTTAAACATGTATGTTGTGAAGCAATGACTCACTGAAGACGGTGGCACAATTTCATGGATTGGTTGAAGTTAGATATTAACACCGTTGGATGCCGGCCCATTGGTTTAGATATTAAGTGTTCGCATGTGAGACCGAAAGTCCTAGATTTGAACCCCGCGATCATGATCGTGGATGCGCACTGTTGAGGAGTTCCATACTAGGATGAAACAGCCGTTCTGTGCTTTCAGGTTTTCCATAGTGATTTAGCTTTACTCGACTCATAAATTCAACCATTAAATTAGTATTTATTTTTTAGAATAATTAAGAAGCAAAAATCAATAATCACATACATACTTCACATGTTTCATTGATCCATATTTTGTTTAAATAAAAAATAGCTTTCTGGTTAAAGTTTAATTTTTTTAATTCGTTCAATAGGTATTAAATTTTTAATTAAAAAAAGACAAGCTTAGTTAATATATTACTACATACCAATAATATTTGAGACTAGTCGATTGTACTTTATTTAAGGTATTCTTTAATATTGAATTTATATTTGGTTATTGTTCCAATTTTTCTTGTGTTTTGTCTTCCAGCTTATTGTCTTTTATTGTGTTACGTTCCATATTATGCTTATTAAAATTAAGTAAATTATAGTTCAATAATATTTGTCGGTTCTTGTGTTCATCAATGTACACATATTTCAGTATTTGTGTATTAGTGTATTGTATTTTAGTCTGATTAGAGAAATTATTTAATCTTTCTAATCGAATGTAGTTACCACTATTCTTTACAGTATTTACTAAGATATTACGAATAATAATTTTTTTCTGGTTAGTGTTTTTTAGCGAGCTAGTTTTCTACGGGATGAAATCACTAACCCTATGCTCCAACCCTCCTCCTTTATCCCGGGTTGGGATCGGTAGTGGCTCCAGAGGGGCTCCAGGCGCAATTACTGAGAAGATATAGGAAATAATTTTCATGTACGAATTTCATTTTCCAGTGACTTATTCTTGTCTTCATCAAACAAACAACAATTGATATTTGGTGCTTTGTAGCTGTTGAAAAGAAATCATAGATCTAAGTTTTATAGTGATTGTTACTCATCAGTGAGATTTATCTATAGCTATTTAGAAAATTATGATCTCTGTGGAATTTGAACCAATTTCACTCTGTGTTATAAAGACATATGACATCTTAGATTCAGAAGGGATTGTTGTTAATTTTCTGTAACTACGTCATTTTCAATAAAGTGTTCCATTAATGTGGATCTGTTTAGATAGGTAAGCATATTTCAATTTTGTTTATGGAATTTTACAAATTCTAAACATCATTAGTTACTACCAAGTGATCGATTTGTAAAATATTATAGTGCAAAGATTTTATTGATATGGTAGACAAAATCTATTCCCCGATATTTTATGAACTTTGACCCTTTTACTAGAAACTAGTTGAAGTTTTACTATACATTTTAACATTTATTTTAAAAGGTACATATATAGAAATGAATTGATAGAACATAAATTTCTATGCAACAGTCTTCTTTTTTCTTTAAATGACCAAACTATTGAGATTTGTGTCCAAAAGTACATATTCGTATGGGGGTTAATCAGTATGGTGAAGTAAACTTCAGTTGAGCTATCATCATTTTATTTTAGAAAATGTTTGATAATTAAAATCCTATATTTTATATTTAAATACTACTGACTAATAGATGTTT